GTACCCCACCAGCACACCTGAGGGCACCCACCAGCACACCTGAGGGCACCCACCAGCACACACAGTGGTACCCCAGCAGCACACACATGCTCCACGAGCACACCCCATGGCACCCCACCACACACGCGTGCTCCAGGCCTAAGCCAGGCACAGCAATTCCTTCAGAGGCTCTGTTTTCACTTTATTGAGCAGAGTGGACGGAGAGGCACTGGTGCTGTCACTAGCACTTGCAGGCTGGGTTCCAAGGGACTGTGACAGAGTGGGGAGACAGACGGTCAAGGTCTCAAGAGAGGACAGAAACACACATCTGTGAGGGTCTCAGAGGGACCACCATGGTGTAGGAAGCCTCGGATCTCCCATTTCCTTTCTGGGTGTCCCAGCTGTGCACGCCTGGCAGCAGGGAGGCGGCGGGCAGAGAAGAGCAAGCCCTGTCCACCCTAATTCGACGGCAGGTGCCTCCTGAGGAACTTGTGCTTTTGGACCTTGGCTGCTTTCTGGAGGCTGAGTCACAATGGCCACCTCTGAGAACCTACCCTGGGGGTCACTCAGCTGTCCCTGATAAGCCCCAGGACTAAGCATTTCCAACTGCCAGCACAGCTAACTCCACCCTCCGACAGCTGGATGCACCTGTGTCCATTCTTGGCAGTCTGCGAGTGACCTGTAAGAGGAAAAGGGAGGGGAACTTCCACTTCCTGGGCGAGTCAGAAGAGGAAGAGGACAGGGCAGAGGGCAGGATTCCTTCTGCTCCGACTGGCAGTCCACAGAAAACCAGGCCTGTCAGTCCTTTAGCTGAGACACCTCGTACAGGTATGCGGCCAGCACCTTGGTCCCTTCTATGTAGTTATGTCTGGGAGGAAGAACACAACATCAMGTCAGCAGGAGTCACAGAATACAGCCCCCCGCCGGCCTGCCGAGACTCCTCCCAAGGCACAGGCGCACCCTCTGCCCCTGACCTCGGCTGGAAGTCCTGCTTATCTCTACCACCCCACTGCCAAGAACCAATACTGGTCCTGGTCTAAGAATGCAGGTCACACCCAAGGCTCTGATCTAGGGATCAGGCCCAGCTCGAATCCCAGGAACCAGGCCTGTCTGCCCCAGGCCCTCCTGCAGGGCTGCACTGCTAGTCCTATCTACCCTGATTCCCTGGGATGAGTTTCTGCTGCCAGTCCTCAGCAGCTCCAGCCAGGAACTCCCCCCTGCCCTGCTCACAGCCCCTGCCTGCCTGGGTCTCTCCTTYCTGCCACTACCCAGAGGCTCGCTTCATCCAGTGGGTTAGAGGAAGCCCTGTCATGTCTGCCTAAGTCAAAACGTGTACAAGTGCCTCAAGCAGTGAGCAGTGACAAGGAATTTTTCAAAAAGGAACAGTAGAGAGGGGTTTACGAGTGGTAGGAGAACACTGGTGAATGGTTCACACACCGCCATCACCACGCCCTGTCCTGCCTCCCATCAAATGCAGATACAAATGCAGGGATGGTCACAGAATCATGCAGCCTGCCGGCCTTTGGCCTTTCTTGGCAGTAGCAGCTGGGAGGCGGGAAGGCAGGGAGGAGAGAGGCACGAGGGAAGCTCCTCCAGGCACCCACCGCTTCAGGCCCCCCGCCCTGGAGGCTCACCTGTTGAGCTTCTCATTCTGGGAGTGGGCACCGTCATCGGCTGAGCCCACTGGCAACAGCATAACATTCTTGCCTGTGGCCTCCTGAAATGTCAAGGTCACAGGAATACTGCCACCTTCCCTGGTCAAATCTGGTTCAACACCAAAAACTAGAAGAAATGGAATGAGAGAAATAGTGAACTCAGAGCCTCAAGCTAGAGACCCATCACAGAGGCAGCGATACTGACARATGCTGGGGACGGCAGCCCGGCCTGAGGAAGTCACCCCATGCCCTTCCCAAGAACACCACAGAGAAAACAGTCATGCATCCAACATGATATGACAAGGCCCTCAGACACGCTTAGATACATGATCCCTGGCATCTGTCCCCAAGGAGCATCCACCTGTTTTCAGGGCTCTTCTCCCCGCCATGTAATGAGGGTGGTTGAAGTCAGATACCCAGGGCTTCCCACCGTGGCCCATGTACACCTTGAACTTGTTGGGGCTGTGTAGCTCAGCAAACTTCTTAGTCAAGTAGCTTGTAACCTAAACCACAAACAGGAGAGACACATGCTCTTTAAAAAGCGTGGCATGTGATGGAATGTTAGTGATTTACTTGGGCTACAATCAGTCATCTACAACAAGTCTGCTACAACAGCTCTACAACATTCTTTTTTAAAAATACATTTATTTGTTTGTTTTTATTTGGTGCTGAGGGTCGAACCCAGGGCCTCACACATGCCAGGTAAGTGCTCTACTGCTGAGCCACAACCCCAGCCCCAGCTCTATAACATTCTATAATGAGTCTATAGAGTCTCATTTTCTGCTGTTGAATACTGATCCACATAACCACAAGAGCAGGAAATTAGACTTAATCTAGAAATAAAATTCAGTTATCTGAAGGTAAAGGCAATGTTTAAATTTCAAGCATTTTACCCTTTACACAGGAGTTCCAAGTGATGATAATGTTTACATTAAGTTGAAAAACCATGTTTTCTGACTTGCTTTATGTTAAGAAAAGGTTGTTTGTATCTCTCCAATGCCTGCGGACACTCTAAACACCACTATGACTATACTTTGAGATAAGACCTTTGTACAAGTAATTAAGGTTCAATGAGTCATAGGCTGGGGCTCTGGTTAGACAGGATTAGTGCCCTTACAGCCTCACTCACTGTGCACACAGAGAAGGTACTATCTGCAAGCCAGGAGTGGCCCTCGCCAGACACCATCTGCTGGAAGCTTCATCTTGGACTTTTCAGCCTCCAAAAATAGGAGTAATACATTTCTGCCACCTAACCCACCCAGTCTGTCAGCTTCAGTTATGGCAGCTCTAGCAGACTAACATGCTTTATAAAAATGGTCGTGAGCTAAATTTCATCTAGGTGGAAAATGGATCTAGGAGATACCCAGTATATGGCCCAAACCTCAGTTCCCACACATGGCAAGTGGGCCAGTCTCCTCTTCCCAGCAGCAAGGACTTTGATTCCATCTTTCCGAGGAACCTCCCTGGAGGAGGGGGTGACTGCTCTCTGAACCAGGTGGACCCAGTTACCAGATCTGGACCTCAGCTGACCTGAAGCCTTGGGGTGAGGTCAGAGATCAGGTCTGGCTGCCCTAGCAGTGATGAAGGTCACTTTCTTGGGATGCCTGTTCATGTGGCCTTCACTGAGGGGAAGTTTCTGAACTGCTTATTCTACGACTACTGATTAGGCAAGAGCCAAGAGGTAGGGTGTTCAGGGTCTAGGCTTTTSCTCCAGTGAAGTCCCTTGTTCCCCACATCCTGATGACATAGCTCTCACCCATCCGCACGCCACACTCCTACAGACCTGCTCGCTGACCACTTCAGGAGTCATGTTTGGCACAAGCCTGATGGAGAACTTGCCGACCACCTTCCTAGGAATCACGGTCTTGGCCCCCGACCCGGAGAAGGCACCTTCAATGCCATGGAGGGAGAGGGACGGGTAACGCCAACGGTGCATGAGGATGTCTTTCTGCAAAATCATGACACAGGTTTGCTCGCTCACTGAGGAGACAGATGCCGTCTAGCAGTTGGCAGGACTGGTCAGAGCTGCTGCGGGCTCTGGAACTACTGCCCCTCACCCCAGGGGAAGCTCGCTGGCCTTAACAGCCTCAGGAGCTGACTATGACACTTGGGGGCATGTGCTTGACCCTTCAGCCCCCAAACAGYTGCCACATCTCTGCCTCTCTGCTGTTCTCACAGCCTGTCCCTGCTGGCCGAGCAGTGCTACTGCAGGACCCCATGAGGCCTCTTTCAGATCTGTCCACCACCCGACCCTTGGGCAAGCCCACAGGGTTGGCCTTGCTCGGTCCCACGCATGTTCTTCTGGAGTTCTGTGCTCACTTTTCTCAGGGAAAGATGAAACTCAAGGGCCAACCCTGCTCTGCCTGCTCCCATCCCCACCCTAGAGAGCCGGGCCTGTTGCTGAATTCAGTTAAAGTCAGCTTTATGGAAACTGCTGAACTGATATCCACACCTCATAAACCAACTTTCCTCAAACAAACCAAGAGTAAAGTCACAGCTCAATTTCCACCCCCAGCTAAGTCAACAAGGTGTGGACAGCTCCTGCCGTTGAACTTGGCCCTGTAGGGCGCCTTAACTAACCTTTGGGCCCACTGTAAAGAGATCACGCTTCAAATCCCAGAGATCCCAGAGAAAGCAGAGCCACCTGCCAGCAGGAGATGACAGTGTTCCCCTGCACACCACCTCCAGTTCTTTCAGAGTCAAAGTAGATTCTGACACAAAAAGGCCCTAAGTGTGCCCGGCCTGGCGTGCCCTCCTTTCTAGGTTTGCCACCCGACACGTGTGCGTGTGCCCCTCCCCAGGCGGGGCCCACTGGAACCCCGGCAGCTGGGCAGGGCAGGGCCCCAGGGCACCTTGACGTCATGTAGGAGGGTCTCAGCCCCCACGTCCTTGGCGAACTCCTCCAGGTCGAAGTCGATGTGGTCGTAGAGCTCATGCTCCTCTCTCGTCACGGGGGCCACGGCCTCATTGATGCCAGGGATGAGGATTTTCCCCTTGTTGTCGATCAGAGAGCCTGGGGGAAGAAGCAAAGGGTTAAAATGCTCAGCAGTTCTCAGCAGTGCTAACTCCAGAAGGTCAGGCAACGCAGAGACCACAGCTCAGCCTCCGGGCCCAAGACGGGACAGGCCAGGAACAGCAGGGACAGGCCTGGTGGTGATGTCCCTGAGCCGCTACCTCTCCAGGTGCTTATGGCAGTAGGTAGTCAGTCAGTTATCACGACTCCGTTTTTAGACAAAGACTGAGGAGCAGGGGGGTAACTGCCCTCAGTCACACCACGTACCAACCAGACCAGCTGGCTCCAAGCAGGCTTACTCCAAAAGAGCTACACCATCCAGCGTTTCACTTTTAAGGGACATCCCACAAGAAACAAGCTGCTCTGGAGTCCAGGAGAAGAAACGGGAGTGGGACTGAGCAGACATCACCTCACCCGAGGCACCTCTGCCCGTCAGGTAGGAAGGGAGAGCTTACAGAATCACGTGGGAGAGAAGAGCTCTGCTTAGCCTCGAGGGGGACCATGATGGGAACCTAGGTGCAGGCAGCCACGGCAAGTGACCAAAGCCCATGCTCCCAGGAGAGTAGTCATCTCCAGGAGAGTGGTCTGCTGTCAGAGGAGGGATGGCAGCTTGTGCTCCTAAGGGTAGGTTGGGCAGGAACTGGGGTGTCCCCGTGGGGTGTGCGGGGTAGGGCAGGGTCTCAACAGGTGGAGACAACGCACAGGACAGTCCCAGGCAGAGCAGAGGAGGACAGCGTCAGAAATGGAGCACACCTTTTAAAGAAAACAGTGGACAGAAGGAGGGAAGGAATTCATCACAACGGACCAGCTGGTTCATGCAGAACGCTGAGGCGCACTAACTGCAGAGCCTGGAAGCAGCAGCCCCACCAGCCTCCCAACGCAGCAAGTACCGACCGAGGGTGAGCCAGTGCACACTCACCCATCAGTGCAATGAGATCCGTCATGGCCTCGTACACAGAGCCACCGTACACTCCAGAATGGAGGTCTTTGTCACTGCATTCCACCTGGATGAAAACAAAGGCCACTTTATCTGGTTGCTTCGTGGAAGCTTATTTATATCATGTATCAGCACATCGAACAAAGAACATTTATAAGACTTGACAATTTCCCAAACCAAAACTTGTTCCCTCAAGGAGCAAAGCAAGGTGTGCCTCCAATTAGGAAACTCAGACAACAAAAAATGATCCTGGATATGCTGACTATAGGCCCTGGGTAACTATAGGTTAGAACAGCAGTCAGTCAGTCAGTCAGTTATGACCATGATGAGCTGGGAAGGCGCTCATCTCCAGTGAACATCTGCCACAAAAAGTGGGGATGCCGGCTACAGGTGCCCCTGGTAAGTCTGCCACAGCTATGCTGGGAATACTGGCCACAGGTGAGGCACACTGCAGGGCAAGCTCTCCCTTCTTACCCTGAAGGACACGGAGCCTCCTCCAGGGGAAGGACAGGCCCCATCATTCACAAGGATCATCTCCCAAGTGGGCAATGCCCAAGATAAATGATGACTCATGAGGACCTGGAAAGCCTGAGGACCTGGGTTCAGACCCACCCCACCACTGACCAGTCTTCTAACTAGGTAAGGCAAGGCCCCCATGTGAAGGGGAACTCACTCTCAGCACCAGGTCACCTGTGATGTGTGGAGGGCTGTGATGCCCAGGGTGAGTGCTCAGTGTAGCCACGGCCACGATTTCTGCCCTGACTGGGTGATGGGGTCTACTTCCATCACCAGAGTCTGTGTGGGGTCGGGGGGTCCAGGGGAGTGCCACCCTGACTTGGTTGCCAGTGAGGGCAGAGCCCAGCTGGCTCCCCACACTCGCTCAGTGTCAGCTTCTCTTCCTCTAGGGAGGGTCTCGATCCCCACAGTAACTCAGTGCAGGCTGAGGGTTTCAGGGCTCAAGCCCTCAGAAACGCTCTCCACTTCCAAAAGGAGGTGTTCTCAGTGCTCTGCACACTGGGCCTCCTAGATGGGCCAGCATGGCCTTTCTTCCCACTTGCTCCAAGGCCACAGAGGAACAACACTGCTCTGGCTGCATGTTTCTCTGAAATGATTTCTGAGCACGGGAAGTCCCATCATCTGTGCCTGGCTCCTACAATGGCTTGCGGAGCCTGGGAAGTGGGCACCACCCAAGCTTGGTACTTCTCTTCTTGTATGACTGCCTCTTGGCACGTGCCTGCTTTAGGGTAGGAAGAYAAGGAAACTCAGGGCTAGGGAGGAGCCTGCAGAACCGGGCACATACCTCAATGAAAAAGTAGCAAATGCCCCTGAGGCCGTATGTGAGGCAGGGCTTCTTCTTCCCCAGCCAGTAGTTGTCAGAAATGCAGATGTAGTCCACATCTTTAAAGAACTTGTCTTTCTGGGCAAAAATCAGCTCATCCAGGCCTTCAGAGCCAGACTCCTCCATTCCTTCGAGACAGAACCGCACGTTGACAGGGATGTCCTGTGACAGAAGGCAGGAGGAGGGAGTTGTCTTCTCTGCTCTCCACTGAAATTTCAAATACCCAACCTCCTGGGATAGCCACAGGCAGACAGTGGTCTGCAGGGCACCAGGGCAGGGAAGGGAAGGCCCTTGCCTCATGCCTGGGTAAGCCCTAATGGGACGTCTGTGGACGCCCAGTGACAGCAAATGCGKAGTGTTCAGGACAGCCCAAGCTGCTCCCTCTACGACAGAGGGACAAAGAACATCCACACCTGAGCACCAGATCCTCAGTGTTGCACAGAGAGCCTCTGCCAACRCGAGTAGGCTCTCCCTCACTGCGAGCCCTGGCACCTCCAGCCACACTAGACATCTTCCAGGTGCTCTCCCAGCTCTACAGGGTGAGGCAGTGGTCYCCTCCCCAGATGAGAAAAGGAAGCTGCAGGTGAGAAAGGAGGAAACCCGAGAGACCAACAGGGCACGGAACAGCAGCCCCAAATGCAGACTCAGGTCTACCGAGACGGGTTCAAATCTGCCCGGCAGCAGCACAGTTCACCACATGTACTTTGCCCTCCACCCCCAGTGCTGTCCACAGACGTGCGTCCCCTCCTGCTCTCCTCCTCCTCTTCTACCCTCAAGTGAGACCTTTCCTGGTACCTGGGTATGTGGAATAGGGGTGACAGAGCTGTTAGGAGGGTTCTCCACTATACATAACTGTCCCTCACTTTGGACTTCCTAGACCCCARGGCATCTCCACCGCAAGGCCGAGGCTCCAGGCAGCACTGGAGCGGTGAGGCTTCCTGGCTCCCATGCCTAGTGCAAAGGGCTGCCTGTGCCAGGCAGGTGGTTCTGTGTGTTGGCTCCCTCCTATGCAAAACCACTTGCCAGACCAGAGGGCCTGAGACCCTTTTCATAGCTAACAGTCCATACTTTGACAAAAATGCTTATCTTATTCTTATTTTATCATGATACAAGATAAAGGCCAGATGCAAAAACTATCTATACAATGTGATCACAACTAGAGTAAAGACCAATAGTGAGTTTACTAAGAAACAAAATACTAAATGAGTATTTTGAGGTTTGGGATTTTTAGCAATTTTTTTCTCTAATTTACCAACTTTGAACAATAAGCACATATTTCACAGCTGATGAAGTTTTTTTAAAAAAAAAACAACTTATTTTTAAGAGAATATAAACGGGGAGGGGGGAGCTGGGGAGGAATCTGTCCCACATCCCAAAGCTTGCTGCATTCTGGCAAGTGTCATGGGTACAATCAATGCCTGAAATTTCACATTTTGGGCTGGGGGTGCAATTTAACTGTAGAGTACTTGCCCAGAAAGAATGAGGCCCTAGGTTTGATCCCTAGCCTCATAAAGAAAGAAAATTCACATTCTATGTGTTGGCTGAATCCTGCTGACTTTGCTAAGTAGTCAATAGTATGACCTTTGAGTATCTGTGAGACAATTAAACTTCTCATGTTTCTAAGTTGAAAACAGCTATGATCTTAAATCTGAATCACCTGTGCTGATTAAGGTTGCCCAGTGATTGCTCAGGTGGAACCTGGTGAGTGGGTGGAATGCGATGGGGGCAGAGCCGGAGGCATACCTGACCGGTCTTCTGATAAGCTTCTAGGGCATTCATCCAGCCAGCCACAGGCCCCTTATCATCAGTGGAACCTCTCCCATACAATTTGCCTAGAACAGCAATCAGTAAATCAGTTACAACCACGATGAGCTGGGAAGGAGCTCATCTCCAGTGAGCAACACACACACACACACACAAAGTCGAGGAAGACTTTCTCTTCACATCAGAAGCCCCAGGAGCCAGCCAACACTGCTGGGTCAGGGTGATTCCAGGAAACCCCCAGGAGGTGATGAGCTCTTTCAACACTGCCTCCCAAGGTGGCTGGTGGACTTCTACAGGTAGGAGGCCTGGTCACACTTAGGAACCACACATGCCATCATCATAAAAGCACCCCAAAGCTCAAATCCCAAAGCTCACCCTAAGTTGGACACCTGTTTTGATGCAGAATAGACCTTGCATTTTTATTACTCACTTCTCCATTTCTCTCTTTCTTCCTTTAGTTACCACTTTGAAAACTACAGGACATGACACACCTCCAGTCTGTGTCCTTGGTCCTGTTGTTCCCCTCTCTGCACTTGCTTCTAGGACCACTTATACTGGGGTCTGGGCCGCAAAGCTGACCACCACCAAAGGCAACTCGGGGCTAGAGGAGTGGGTATCCAGGGGTCGGGCCCTTACCAACCAAGAGCAAGGCCCTGGGTTTGAGCCCCAATATCATAAAACAAAGCAAAACACACACCAAATCTCAGATCACTCAAAACCCTCCTCCTCCCTCTGTCACATGACCCAAGGTTGGCCTCCACGGTCCCAGGGTTCCAGCTCATGGGTTCAGGTTTGGCCAGGCTCAGCCATGCCCAGCCATGCCCGAGTTCTAYTGTCTGTCCTTGCTGGTTCTCCCACTTCCTCATCCTTAGACGGTTTTAAAGGTCTGGCAGTTTCAGAATGACCTATCCCAAAGCAGCATGAAGCTTAAAGCCATCGTTACCTTGGGAAGTTCCTTTTATTACAAAACACAGCTTTTCACAAAAACTTAAATAGAAGCTCTCCTTAAAAAAATAAATAAATAAACTTGTTTCTGTGACAACCACCAAATAACTACAGTGGCCAGGGCTCTGCTGGATCATAGGTGAATGATAAACACTCCTGCTCCCCATGCTCTGGGCTCCTGACAGGAGGAGGTGCATTGGTTGGATGTTTGTAATGAGCTTCTTTGAGGTATGAGGAGCTACACTAGTCTGTGGAGGGTGGGTGTGGATGTCCACCTGTTGGGTTCTCAGATTGTGGCCTCACAGAGGACTTGGCAGTAGTGACCAGTGCTGGAGTACAAGCAGGTGCTCACGGTGGCTTGAGCACTCTGTTCACGGTGCAGAGCTGGGTTCTGGGGCCTRCACATGGCTCCTCATGGCTGGGCACAGGTGGGAGGAGGAGCAGGGAAGGGGAGGCAGGTTGGCAGGTGATGGGAGGGAATCTGCAGTCAGCTGACTCTTCTGCTTGGTGTCAGGTAAGGAGTAGCATGCTGGGGGCCATGTGGGGGGAATATGTAATGGTTGTGAAGCAGCCAAGGCCTGAAGGGGGGCAGGGCCAAGCAATGCCAGCCAGCACTGGGGGATCCTCAGCGTGGGGCAGGGCCTAGCAATGCCAGCCAGCACTGGGGGGGTCCTCAGCATGGGAGCAGCAGTGGCCCAGGAAGGGCCAAGGGCAGGGTGGGGACAAAATGACCCTTCTTCTGGTGTATGTGGTGGGACGCAATCAAGTGCTTGAAGAGCAAAGACAAGAAAGCCCGTTCCYGGGCAGGTGGGTTCACATGGTGAGGGAGCCACCTGGTAGACAGGTGGGTCTGACACCAGGGAGGAGCCCGAGTGCACAGAGAGGACTAACTCTACAACTTGGTACCTCAGCAATCACACTGTGGTGGGAATGGGACAGGACTGAGTGTCATAAAAGATGCTGCTTTAAACAATTTTTCAGTTTTGCACTGTCACAGGCGGTCCACAGCAAGCCAGGAGAGGCCTGAAGACAGATTCTGCATTCAGTTAGACAAGAGGGTCTGAGCTCTGCCCTGAGGGCCAAGGTGCCAACAGGACTGCCTTAGCTGGCCAGGGAGTGCCCTGTGGCGAGGTRAGGGAAAGTTCAGAAGGGAAAGCAGAGAACCCTCTCGCCAAGGGGGATGGAAGAAGAGGCCAAGCTCGGGGCTCCCCGTGTCCAACATGCTTGTTATATGCACAGGGCAGGCAGGGGACAAGCTCAGCAGGGCAAGGCCCGAGGTTACAGCTCTGGAGGCCACACAGCCTCAGCTCAGAACCTTGCTCTGGAAAGAGCAGCAGTAGCAAGGGAAGCTCAGAAGACCCACGCCATGGACAGCACACTTCCAGAGCGAGGGACCTCCAGGGACTACGGCACACTTCGCCACTCCTGGAACCCAGCCTCCCGCTGACGTGAAAAACACGCTGTACTGCACAGCGGAAAAAACAAGTGACCATCAGCAACTTTCCAAAACTCAAATAACAGAAATGCTCCTCCCAGCACTAAAAGCACTGTTCCTCTGGAGGCCATCGAGCTCTGGAAGCACTGTCCCTCACCGTCCCGCTCTGTCAAGGTGAAGGGCTCGCTGTCCCAGCCGTCCTCCAAGGATGCGGGCTGCACGTCCAAATGCCCATAAACACATACTGTTTTCTTCTGGGGGTCAGAGCCCAGTTTGCCGAGCAGAATGGGAGGAAGTGGTATCTCCGAGCCATCGGGGAGCTGAGTCAGAGGAAGCAATCAAGGGCAGTCCTGTTAATAAGCTCAGAACTCACATCAAAGATGAAAATAAACCTGGGCTTTCTTATCTGTTCTTATAATCAACTTCTACTGCACAGTTTAAGACCATAATGTTCAACACAGCYGTTAATTAGCAAGAATTTCCTTCCCTGAAATCCAGAGTGAATACACTTAAGTATAAATGTATAAGTGAATACATTTACCAACTAGTTTGTTAAAATTTTAAAGACTAGTTTAAAAAAAAACCTTATATAATAAAGTATCATGAAGGTTGAATTCAGGATGTCACTTTCATTATTTTCTGAAATATAATGGTTAAAAATAATTATAATCTTGAATCAAAAGACAAATTTTTAAAATTCTGTATGAAGACTACTATTATGCACAGAATGGGCAACAAATCAAGATATAAAGCAGTACAATTCATATTAAACCCTACTAAATGAAGTAGTGATGATTAGTAGTCCTCTGAGCTTTTTCCCAAAGCCCTTATCAATTGTCCACTGTCCTGTAAGAATGGGGAACAGGGGTATTAGTCACAAAATCCCCTTTGTTGGAGAAGAATCATGGGGACAGGAAGGCAAACCAGTCAGTTCTTCTCCCCCTTCGTATCATGTCCATGGTCTCCATCTGCGACTGTACATGGGGCCCACTCACTCATGTTCCTCCTCCTCTACCAGGTCCTATATYCTAACAGAAAGCCCCCACAATGGCTACAAAGTGTCAGGGTAGGAGTGCACACACTCTTGCTTCAGCACAGGAGGAAAGGACTGTTCCAGCCAGATTATCACACACATGTATTAATCTAGCTATTAGAAAACACCATTTCTGGAAATATCTGTTAATAAAYATAACATACAAACTGAATTGATAATGAAGCTAAACTCACATTTTACACCGAAGAGGTAAAATGAACAGCAAATGAAAATGACAATCAGATCAGGACAATGCTGGTGACAGGCTTAGATCTGTCCACCTCCCAAACTCCAGGGCTCCTGAGCTTTATGTACACAAGCGGTCAGAGAATCAGGCGGGTAGCTGGGTGTCCTGTAAGGACACGTGACTTGTTTTCTCAGTAGACTCTRCTGGTAAAATAATTTACCCCAAGTAATTCTCATAACCTGACAGCTACCAGTGTGCAGAGTGAGGACTCAATGTCCTTTGCTCACTTGACTGCACCAAAGGCTGGGTTTGTGCATTGGTGGGACCAAAGAACTAACTGTTCCTTAAACTCCTGTGCTGGGCACAAAGGACACACRGACTCTGTGATCACAGCCAGAGCTCAGCTGGCCTGAGCAGGAAAATGATCTTTTAAATGACAGCAGATTTTCTCTAAATATATTTCTATTTGACAGAGCCTGAAATATTGAAATACTTCAGCATTTTCTAAGAAGCTATTGGAGCCCATAGGCAAACTGGTTCTGAAGTCCTTGAGGACCTGAAATTCCTGGTGTTCACTTCCCTCTGTAAGCTGGAAACACTCCTGCTTCTGCACTGGCTGGTGCTCCCTGCACACCTGCCTCAGGCCATCAGCCTCTAAACAAGGAGCCCTGCTACCACGAGAATGCTCAGGGGAAGACCAGTGTGCTGTCGCCTCCTGCAAAAGTCTCTGCAGAACTTTTCCACAGTGGTGAAATCTTTCAACTCCTTGTTGAGATAGGTTCAATATGATCTGAAATGTACAACAGCCATTTATAGGAGGCCTTTTCTTTAGAACTGCCCTGTGAAGTCAGTGTTAGATGGAATAAACCTATTTATTGTAGTGAAACAACTCTTAAAAAAATTATTTACCCCACCCAGATTTTTTTATATCTTGGGAAGAAAGGGAGGAGTAAGTCACAACTGCTCTCATTAAAAAACAATATCAAGAGACTTGGTTTATTCTTAAAAGAATGGGAGGAAAGTGTTGGGGAGCTGTAATATGTTTTAAACCAATCATTGAATTTGTTGTTAGAAGAAAATCTTAAAAAAGAACAATAGTGGACCCTGAGTCAGGAGGCCTGAATTTTAATTTGGGCCTTGCCATGAATCAGTGACACACAGCCCACCAGGATGAAGGGAGCACACTGATGGCCACACTCCAAATTCCAGGACCATGAGTGCAACTTAACACTTAGGTCATCAGGCAAAAGAACAGAGACAAACTAGAGCTTTCATGCTCTGTGATATAGGAGTCTTCCAAACTGAAAATACAGGGCATGAAAATACAAATCACGTGGGCCTCAAAACATCCAAAACCAAAATTAGCAGACCAAGGTCCACAAAGTGAGATTGCTCACTTAAACTGCACAGAAAACAAAGCATTCTCATCTGTTGGAATCCTGYATTAAAATGCCATTGACCTGTGGCACCCCATCTCTCTCAGGACACGGTGCTGTGTGAGTGGGGTCTTCACTATTTTTAAAGTGATATGAATAAAGTGACAGGAATAAGCTTCCTTTTTTGAAAGCATGCTGATTTCTGGGAGAATTTCAGCTATGCTCTATGAATGACCATCACATGAACTTTTTCTAGAGTAACTGTCAGCAGTTCTCCTTCCTGGACTGAGCCTCTGCCCCAGAGCAATGTGGCAATCCTTCTCAGAGGCAGGCTCTGCACCAGGGCCACACTTCTTGGGTGGAGCGTCTGAAGCCAAAGGTCCTCCAAGAACTTGCAGAGTCCTGCCAACCCCTAGGCAGAATCTGGCTTGTGGTTCTGCAAGGCCAGGTCATACCTTTTGTTTCCCAATATCCACCAGCTCCACAGAACCTCCCAGCTGCTGGATATCCGCGGCAGCAGCCTCCATCATCCTTCTGATCTCCCCTCTCTTCTCGGGCCAGGCAGAAACACTCTGGATAGCCACCCAGTTTGCAAGTTTCTGTTGTGGACAGCAAATGGAAAGGGATTCTGAAATGTTGCTCCTTTAGGGGAGAAAGGCACTTGCAGGGTGGGGGTTTCTGGCACATGAAACTGACTTGCTGCTTCACTCTGACCAGGCTGATGGACACAGGGGACAGACCTGTCAGGTTACTTTTGTTCAGACTTTGAAAACTGTTTGTACTAAGAACTAAAGTGGAACAACAAAATGTCAGGATGTGTATTTTTAATCATTTAAGATGATGTGAACTTAAATATAGAGTTCCAAAAATTAGTTTCTGAATCTAGCAAAATTATAAGTGAAAGATATGAACAATATCTCATGCTATCTGATATCTAATGCTTTTTTCTCATCCTGGCAATAGTCAAGTTTTCTAAAGTGTAATTTTTAGAAGGAGGATTCTAAATATTTTGTCTGAAATATGTCCATCAGAATAACTTTAAAGCATAATTCTTCAACTCAACATCAAGAAACATTAATATATAATATTACTGAGTAACTTAGACCATGTTAAATATTTACTGGTTCTTTAATATGTAACATAAGAAATCATAGATTGAGATTAAACAAAATCTCAAATTAGTTGTTATTTCTAGAAACATATTCACACTTTTGTCAAATGCCAAAAAGTATAACTTTTGCTGTAATGAGAAAAGTAGGTAACATTTTTTTTTTTGGAGGGGGGATACCAGGGATTGAACTCAGGGCACTCAACCATTAAGCCACATCCCCAACCCTGTTTTGTGTTTTATTTAGAGACAAGGTCTTGGGGCTGAGGATGTGGCTCAAGCGGTAGAGCGCTCGCCTGGCATGCGTGCGGCCCGGGTTCAATCCTCAGCACCACATACAAACAAAGATATTGTGTCCGCCGGAAAAAAAAAAAAAAAAAAAATTCTCTCTCTCTAAAAAAAAAAAAAGGTCTCACTGAACTGCCTAGCAGCCTCAGTTTTGCTGAGACTGGCTTTGAACTTACAATCTTCCTGACTCAGCCTCTGCTAGGTAACATTTTTAATACTTGCTTTAAATTGTGTAACTCATATTGGCTTATTGAAAGTTTCTCAGATTCTAGAATTAAAGTAAATTTCATTGTTTACTAGGATGAAATATTCCCTTACCTTAATGTAGCGGTCCTGGTTTTCATCAATATACTGGAACAGGGTAGTTAGAGCCGACATCTTTCCACTAGACTGCAGACCTTGAAGCTTCTTGGAAGGGAGAACAATCCACCAGCCACCTGTAGGTGGGGACTGAGGTAAGCGGCTGGAAGCACTTGCTGAGCTCTCAGATCAGCACTGTAGGGCCCTCTGCCCTTCCCTTCCTGGGCAGCATTACAACACTCTCCAGGAAGTCACTGGCTTCAGAGTCATGATCTCTGGGATCTAGTTAGAGGTTTAGATTCACCTTCCCTTTTCTCAGAAGGAAAATCCACACAACACCCTGTGTCCAGTGGCAGGTAACTGAAAGGCCCTGAGTTGCAGACAATCTGACGAAAAGTAAAATAGGCACTTCCCAGTGATACTAATTTACCAGCATTTAAAAAAAAAAAAAATTCACATTCTTAAAGCACACAGAGAACTGTCCACTTTCTATGACCATTTCAAGATCTCAGCAAAAATGTCACATCCTGTCTCAACAGCCACAAACCCAGAACACAGCCAAGACAGCCCCAGGCACACCAGATAAATTCATTTTAGGAATGCTAAGGATCTGCCAAAAGATCAGCTCAGAAGCTGCCAAAGGGCAGCGTGCTGCACTCAACCTCCACAAGGACCCAAGATAAAGAAACTTCCCCATTGTCCAGTAGGGCAAGTGTGGGTAATGATAACACCCTACACAGGAGAAAGCTAGGCGACAGATTTCTTTTGATGTGGTGCTAAGAATCAAACCCAGTGCCAGCCTCATATATGCTAGGCGAGGGCTCTGCCACTGAGCCATATCTCCAGCCCATGAAACAGGTTTCATAATGTTTTTACCATAAGAAAATGATCGGTGTTTGAGGAGACAGGTATATTTGCCCTGGATTTGAGCATTGTACAATGCATACTTCACCGAAATGCCTCATTGCACGCCATGATTATGTACAATATTTATGTTTTTGTGCATCAGTTAAAAACATAAGTTTAAATTAAAAAATAAAAACCAAACTTCCATTCCTGGCACACATATTTGCATCCCCCCACACATTTTCTAACATTCAGCTTTCACATCTGAGACCCTGACTCCTGCTCTATCTTACAGACGCAGGGCAAGTAAATCATGGGACTGCTTTAAAAAATCAGAATGAAGACAAAATAAAAATGTCTCTAACTTTCAAAGCAGTGTCTCTCCTCTTTCTTCAAAAACTCAAGACTTAAACAGAAATAGAAAAGAGATCAGCTGTCTGAGCAGATTCGTCCTGAGTGCAGCAAAGTGACAAGATCCTACCACAACTTTATGGGTCTGAAGTGGGTGCAGGGCAAATGCTTGCACACTGACACACTGTTATTGAACAGCATATATTCTTGGTATAGGGCTCTAGGGCTGTTGTAAATAGGTGACTGACTTGATCCGTGTGACATGAAGTGTGGCAGCCGCACAGCAGACTGAGGAAGGTTCTCCAGCTGCACAGTAGGGCAGATGTGCTTTCTATATGGGTAGGAGATCACACCACGAAGCTCTCAATGTCCTTTTCCCCTTCTTCCTCACAGACACTAGCAAGAAAGCATGATTATTTCCATACTCTGGGCCAACTCGTAATGCCCCAGCTCAGGCATTCATGGGAAAGAGTCTCAAGTAGAACAAAGTCCGTGAATGCTGCTGAGGCATCTTTATGAGTGTTAATGAGTCAAATTTCAGCCATCTGTCACCAGAAAATGCACACAGAGAAGCCACCTATTTACATGAGATGAAATCTTGTTCAGCCAGACCATATCCTACACTGGGTGCTTTTCCTTTGAGTTTCTGGTCACTAAATACCACAAATTCCAAACTCACTGTGGAATCATCTCATTAGTATTGTTTTTTTTTTTAGTCAATTAACTAATGGCTTTCTAAAGCACTCAAAGATGTAATTGTCTAAGCTGTGCCTCTTGGCCAAGAGTAAACAGATACAGATTGTTCAGTTACCACAAGGACTGCTCAAAGCACCTCCCCTATATTAACTGTCAGAAAGCAGAGCAGGTTGGGCAGGTTCCGATTTTTGGTCTCCCACTCAGTACTTGACTTCTGTTTCACCTCCACTAACACCAAAGCCACTAAATGGAACCACTTTTATGTGACTTGATGAAACTCACTTACTAAGGTAAACGCAGTATGTAGGAAAGAACAAAAGCAATATATTATCCCTCCAAATATATGACAGGCTTCCTCCCCTCTAAAAATATAAAGTTCATGGGGAGCAACATTTAAATAGAGGCTGCTAAGAGGGGAAGGAGAAATGATATGAACTAGGCAGCGATATACACAAATGATTCTTTTAATTCTGAGTGTCAATCTTTTTCCCCTGAGACCTCAAGGTATATGTTAGAGAACTACTACCCTCACTAAACCGCGGGTGGGGATCGATCTCCTATTTGCCTATTCTAGAATTTCATCCTAAACATATCACGAAACTACTTTTTGCCACTCCTCCCTGCCAACATCTGAGACAACACAGGCTATCCGGAACGGGTCCCAGGAGGGGTTCTCCTGATTTCGTTACCCAGAGTCTGAACCAGGCTGCCTCTCCAGAAGCCAACCACACTGGTGGCCCCCTCTGTGGGGCCCCGGGACTCAAGGGCATTAGTGCAGGGGACCAGGCACAGGYTTCATTTTACAGAGGAAACAGGTGATGGAGTAAGGGGCCTGCCACACCAGCGAGTTGGCGAGGGAATGTCCCCGCCGCTGGGGAATCCTCCGCCTCAAGCGCCAGGGCGAGCCAGGCCTGAGCGTGTCTGCAGAAGGCTGAGCACCACAGACCTCCCCAGGGCAGCACCAGCTGCACGCTGCTCCCCGCCACCCCACCTGCACCAGGTCGCCACGCAGGCCGGAGCCCGGGCGCGGTCGAGCAGGTCCCCTCACCCGCCCGGACGCTCGGCTGGCCCCTCGGGATGCGGCGCGAGAGGCCCCTTCCGATCCGCGACCCCGCTAGGGCCTCTACCGCCGACCGCGCTCGGGACAGCCGGGCTTCACCGGCTGCGGCCTGGGGCCCGACGCTCCCACACCAAGGAGTGCGACTCCTGCAGCTGCGCGAGCCCTCACGCCTGGGCGCCAGAGGCCCGGATCGCCCACCAGAGAAGGAAGGTCCAGCCAATGAGGCCCGCTCACCCAAGGCGCCGGTTCCGCACCACGTGTCCAAGGCCACGCCCTCAAGCGGCCCGCGCCCCACCCCGCCCGCCAATCCCCAGCCTCGTCCAGGACTGTCTTGCCCCGCCCCTCTCCACCCCCCGCCCACCAATCCTCGTCCTAGTCGAACTGTCTCGCCCCGCCCCTCCACATGCCCCGCCCACCAATCCCGGGCCTCGTCTTGCCCCGCCCCTCCTCCGCTAGCGCGCGGTGAGGGCGGGGCATAAAGTCTGCCGGGGCTGAATGGCGTGAAGGCCGGTCGCCCWGGAGCGCTGGCCCCGGGCGGTGGTCTAGAGCTGGGCTTCCCGGCTCTCGCCGGGGTTGGTCGGGGGTGTGGTGCTTCGACTGTGGGGTGCGAGAGGTCGTGTAGATCTTCAGTGCAGCTTTGAAGTCCGAAACTGAGGAACCTAGCTTGCGTTTTCTGAGTTCCCAGGCTTTGGACCTGATGTTTTCCACCGAGACCTGTGTTTGCACCGCTGTACCAGCAGAATCCAAGGAGTAGCATTCTGCAAGCCACACTTTCAAGTACATTCCAGTTTGAGATACTTGATTGCAACACATGCACTATCACCACTCCCAAGAGAAGTCTGTTTAAGTTTCACAATTCCAGGAATTCATGAAGAAAGCAAGCATACCCACCACGATTTGAGTATCTGCTGCTTCCCTTTTTAACCCTGGAAGTTGTTCCGCGGTCTGCTAATCTTTTTATAAGAGTATTCTCAAAAGAATTTTGCAAAGCTTGTACACCTTTCACATTTGGGGGCAGGTACAGAAATGTGCGTTTACAATGTTAATCATCATCTGATAAACAGTAGTTAATTATGAATCTCAATAAATATTAAGAAAGTGTAAGTTTTATTCTTAATGTAGAACGCTTTTTTTTCCTGGAAATATGTTAATTATTACAAAGGAGAACTTTATAGATCCTATCCTGAAAAAGATGCCTATATGCTCCAGACCTCAATTAAGGAGGCATTCTCCAATGAGAGTTGAATTTGGACTTGCGCCTTTGTCTAGAACTTGAGAAGTTTTCCATGAGCTGGTAAAGGCACAGCAGCTACAACAATGCCTGGCTTTGAGTGAGGGCTCTGTAAGTGTTGCCTGTGCATCCTCTCTCAGGACAGTCTGTGACCAGGAGGAACAGCAGGGCTCTGCTCTGCTACCTGTGTGTTTCCTGGCCTGTCAATTCTAGGGGAAATCCCCCGTGGGATTTGAGAGCTGGAAAGTGATGCCCTTTAAACTCTGAGCCCTCCTGAGAAAGCCTGTGCCTTGGGTATCAGTCAGTCACAAGTCCACTGCCCTACACAACTGGTCAGTAAATGAGTTAGCATCTGAGTAGAGTGTGCTGCTTTGAATTTCCAGCAGGTGGCCCTGCACATCCATTTCATCTCTGGTAAAGGGTGCATTGCAGGTGGCTGCATAGCAATGAATCTGGCCTTAGTTGTCAGGAGATAGATAATATGTTTCTAGTCTTCTCTGCTGGATTTGGGAACAGGGACATTATGAGAGAAAACTAGGAGAGAAATATGGAGATGGGTGTTTTAGTTAACTCTTGTGTGGCTGTGACCAAAATACCTGACAAGAACAACTTAGAGGAAAGGTGTATTGGGGCTCAGGGTTTCAGAGGTCTCAGTCCATAGAAGGCCGACTTCCTTGGTCTGGCCCAAGATGAGGCAGTACATCATGGGGGAAGGTCCCAATGGAGGACGGAGGATCAGGAAGCAGAAAGAGAAGGAAGAAGGGGCCACAGGGAAGATAATCCTTTAGAGAAATCACCCCATTGACCCACCTCCTCCAGCCGTGTCCCATCTGCCTACAGTGACCATCTAGTCATTCAAACTAGAAAGGACTGATTAGATGACAAGTCTCACAATCCAGTCATTTCACCTCTGAACATTCCTGCAGAAACACAGGAGATCTGGGGGGACACCTAACATCCAAGCCATAACATAGGTGGCCAGGGGTTGGGTGCTTTGGAAAGGGGAATAATGAGAACTTAGGAAATGTAAGCATTATGGAACTTACGATTGATTATTAATCTATTCAAGCAACATTAGCTCAGGCTTCCAGTGGCTGCAATTTTCAGTTTCCAGCAGGAGATAGAGTTTAATCTCCAGAATCTGGTTGCGTTCTTATAAACCCCGTTTCACTCAACATGCCAACAATGGGAATAATCACCCTTCTGGAAAACGGAGAATTTTCCTGGGAACAGAAACCTCTTTGGAGACAGTAATTATTCTCCAGAAACCTTGATGCAGAGAAGTAGTTGGTGACTTTTTCAGAGAATAATTGCCAGATAGAGTGGAAGAAAGAAGGAAGCAGTATAAGGAGATTAGGAGGGACAACTGTAAAGGACTCCACACCACCCTAACCTTGGAGGCTGGTAAATTCTAGTCCTCCCATAGTTGGTCTCTAGGAGTCTCTGGCTCCRTGTTGGTTTCCATGGGGTCAATTAATCCAAATGCTTCAGTTCCAAATGCTCCCAATTCCTCTTACCTGCAGGACTTCACTGGTATATTCCACAGGCCCTTTGTAAAACAGCACAGCTGGACCTTGGAGATACTGTGTGTTGGGTTCACCACAATAAAGTGAATATCACAATAATGCAAGTCATATAAAAATTTTGGTTTCCCAATGTATACAAGTTAGGTTTACAATGTTAAGAGTGCAATAGTATAAATTTTTTAAAAATGTACATATTTCAATTTTAAAATACTTTATTTCTAAAATATGTTAATAATCAGATGGGCATAGTGGTGCATGACTGTAATAGCAGCTACTTGGGAGGCCAAGGCAGGAGGATCAGAGKTTGAAGCCAGCCTGGGCAACTTAGAGAGACCCTGTCTCAAACAAACAAATAAATAAATAAGGGCTGGGGATATAACTCAGTGGTGGAACACCCCTGGGTTTGATCCCCAATACAGCACCCCGAAGAAGAAGAAGAAGAAGAAGAAGAAGAAGAAGAAGAAGAAGAAGAGGAGGAGGAGGAGGAGGAGGAGGAGGAGCGGAAAGTAATGATCATCTGAGTTGTTGGAAAGATGGTGCCCATAGACTTGATGGCTACAGGGATGCCACGAACCTTCAATCTGTAAACAAAACAAAAAGCTCTGTATCTGCAAAGCACAATACAGTGAGTGAGGCACAGTAAAACAAGGTGTGTGTGTGTACATTCAGAACCAAACGTGATTTACCTCATCTCCTGTCACCTCTGCTGTRGCAGAATCCTAAGCTTCCTGTTTCTCCTTGAGCATGAGTGAGCCTCACCTAATCGGGTGAGCTCTTGGAAATAGGGTGCAGGTTGAGATGAGAGCAGCCAGAGACTTGCTGCTGCCCGGATGTTTCATGCCATGATGGAAAGGTCACGTGGCAGGGAATGTCAGGGCTCCCAAGGGTCCGAGGTCCTGTCCTGTGAATTCTGTCAACTACTAAAGGAGCTTGGAAGCAGTCTTCCCCAGCCAAGCCCCAGCTGAGAACACAGCCTGGCCCACTCCTTCACCACTGGCTTGGCACCCTGAGCACAGGAGCCCGACCCTAAGAGACCGGGAGAGAAGAAGCAGGTGTTATTTTCAGCTGCTAAGCATGTGTTTTAGTCAGCTTTTTCACAGCTGTGACTAAAAGACCCAAGCAGAACAATGGTAAAGGAGGAAGAGTTTATTTGGGGGCTCACAGTTTTAGAAGTCTCAGTCCATAGGCTGCTGGCTCCATTCCTCAGGTCTGGAGGTGAGGCAGGGCATCCTTGGGGGAAGAGTGTGGCAGGGAAGCAGCTCACTCAATGACCCGGAGTTTCAGAGACTCCAGTGCTAGATACACAAAGTCACACTGCCAATGCCCACCTCCGCCACACCCTACCMGCCTTCAGTTCTCACTCAGTTAATCCCATCAGGGGGTTAATTCACTGATCCTGTTTAGACCCTCACAACCCAATTTTCTCTCCTCTAAACCTTTTTGCATTCCTCACACGTGAGTTTTTGGGGGACACCTCACACCMAAACCACAGCTGTCACGCGGCACTGGAAAATTAATACAGCGCCTGCATGACCCCACAGCTGAGCTTGAGCTTCCCTGTGAAAAGAGGCCTGCCAGGACCTCCTGGTCCCTCTCCTCACAGCAGTGGTTGCTCAGTGTGGGCTCCATCCTTGCCGGTCTGGACCTGCAGGGTCCTCAAGGGTGGCCAGTGGCCCAGGTAAGAACTCCCACAGGCAGGGCATCTCTGGCCTCCGCATCCAGCACAGGCTCTCCCTACCTGAACCACGCTGTCCACCAGCAGAGCCTGGCAACCCTCTAGGAGTAGGAAATAAGTGCTTTTCGGTAGCTTTTGTTTATTCTATGTTTCATGTAGAAATGGGATTTTAAACTTAATATCACACACTATTGAATCATCAACTAACTTAATTTACTTCATATTTCAAATATCTCTCCTAATCAAAATACCGCCCTTGTGGCCAAACTTATTAAAATTCCAACAATAAACATGTCTCACCTTGAGTATATTGAATGCAGAATTTTTTGAAATTCAGGAACTTAGATATTTGAAATCTCTGTCCTAGAGCCTCCAACATGGTTATTAAGCCATGATATATTGTAATATAAGGTGTCATGTCATTCAGAGGATCAGGAAAATAGAGTCTCCTCCTCTGAGTCTTCTATCTGTGCCCATGCATTTGAAGCCCACATGTATTTTTGTTTGTTGCTTTGGTGTGTCTTGGGTGGATGGCTCATCTGAGTTGTGATTCATGAACTGGTTAACTTGGAAAGCTGGGACTCTTATATCCTGTGTAACAATTGTACTGTGTAGGCCACCAAAGCATGAAGGGCATAATTAACCACCAGGCCTGTAGGTATTATAATTCAGACAAGTTTTCCCCTGTGTGAACACCAGGGACCATCACACACTGTGAATGAACCCCTATAAGGAGGCAGCACAAAGAAAGGGAAGAA